CGTTTTTTCTGGATTCAAAAAATAAAGTGTTCCACATGTTTCAATTTGTTAGCAATCATTTTTCCGTAAATACTTTTTGATGAAGTGCTGTGTTACACATTTAGTATAACTTCTTGTAGCTGAATGAAGTGAGAGTTACTGCGCAGGCGAGCTGGTAAAGGATCATGGTGAAAAAAACCCAAGACTAGGACAAAACATCGGGACAACACAACACGTCTGAAGACATTTTGAGGCAGTATTGTGTTTTTCCAATTTTTTTGTCACTAGTCTCGGGGTTTACCCACCATGCTCTTCTAGCTGCAGTACACGTTTTGGTAGGGTGTACTGCTGCCATCACACCCTAATAAATAGGTGTAGAGCAGAATCACTCCTTTCTGTGTAGGGTGTAAGGGATTACACCGGTTTTTGAGGTAGTGAGAAGTAACACCATTTTTCTAGGGCGTTTTTGTACACCAATAAGGGGGTGAGTTGTGACCCATGCCATTTACACCAATAAGGGCGTGAAAATGTTTAGTGTGTACGCAGCATTTAATGGGGCACCGTCAATTAAAGGTCAACGGTAAACGAGAATGTGCACTTCACTACAATTATTTTTCAATCTCTTTTAGTGTCGATGGCGAAACAAATGCAGCCAGTCGGAACAACTGGGACTGAGTTAGAAATGAACGCTTAAGCCTGGTTCACATGCAGCGGTTTTAACCCTAGAGCGGCGCGATTTCTGCCGTCGCGGCGATCTGGCCAGCACCAGCGATTGAGCGGCACGAGCGCCGCGACGGCAGAAATCGCGCCGCTCCAGGGCCAAAATCGCTGCATGTGAACTAGGCTTTACGCAGCTCTTTCGTCCGATTCATGCTTCACGTCGCGCTAACACCTAGAATGTATAGGCCTCCAATCATCTGCTTAGGAGCATCTTCAACTTCTTCCTTCATCAGTAAACAGAAGGCCGCCATTAGTATAGCACATATGCCGTTTTCAGATGATGATGATAGTGATCAAAGTGGCCAGACTGAATTCCGGAAAGGGTCTATTCAGTGGCACTAGCGGGAACAATGAGGAAGAGGCAGGCGTCAAAAGGTAGTGGCTTCTGGAACCCACGGTGCTTACGTCATGGCCCCTCGAGGTATTACAAGCTCCTTGAACAAGGGCGTGGATAGTGTCATCAAATAAGCTACGCTTCAGAGTAACGACACTTGGCCATATTGTGCCTTAAAATCATGGTTGCCAGTTATCTGAAGCTGTATCTAAAATCACAGGAAACGCTTTTCCGTCCTCCACAAATGTTTATACAGTCCGAGACAGAGTAAAGCAATATTGCATCTGCTTCCTAACACCAGATCTAATGCTGAGGAAATCGCACTTTTGAATCATGACGATCGGTAGTTGTGTTTGCACTGCACAAGACCCAAAATGGCGGCGGCCACAACAGTGCTGGGGAACAGAGTGCCGATACTCTAAGGGCAGCTCATTTAGTGACTCTAGGCATGAAGTGAACTCGGGTGTATTATTTTCCTTTTCGTCTTTATTGTTTATTGATTTCAATCATATCGAATAATGAACACATTATGTCAGACTACGCTTGTGTAATTATTTATCGTAGATTTATTAACCTGACCCAGTACTTAAACCATTGATTTGTTGATAGTAAATCTTCCAATATATTTTCTAAACGTGAAGGTAAAAAGACACGGACATTGATGATGATAAAGACGCCAACGCCGCCCTCGACGATTTCCTGAACACTAGAAATCAGCTGTTTTGTCTGCCATCCGGTAGGTAGCGCAACAAAACACCCTAACAGTTTTTAACTGTTTTTGAAAGTAGCTAAACTCTACACCTATGAAGAAACCAAAGCAAGATCATTGTAAAAACTATAATGCATCGCAATGTATATCTTTTTCATACAATAAATGTTATTAGATGCCAATAAATCTGTTTGATGTCCATAAAAGATTGCGTCAAAAACAGGTAAGTTTAAAGGGTATCTGGAGTGTTATTACTTTGAAAATATAAAAAAAGCCATCATCTACTTCTTGAACAAACATTGTAGCTCTAAATGTTATAAAAAATTTATCATAGATTAATTATTTCCTTAGCTGCAATTGTAGCACTGTGACTCGAAGCACAAAAAAGTGCTACGTTTGATATAGCATATCTAAAAAAAAAAATTTCCACAGCATTAAAATTTTCTTTGCATATTACCAATTATAAGCCCTACATCTGTAGCTAATTTCATTGCCCTAGCGTATGTCATTAAAAACATATATGTGCTGAAAAATTACAATTTTAGGGCAATATTTGGAAAAATGAACAAAACAATGTATTGCGAATACCAAAAAAAAGTGAAAGCCGTTTACAACTCCCTGTAACACCGAATTAGAGCGCAGCTCTTGAGGAGGAGGGAAGGGTACTGGGGGGGTGAAGTGACCTGGGGGGGGTCACGTGACCTTGGGGGGTCACGTGACGATGCCGAGGATGTCATCAGTGACGTCACTGATGACGTCATCAGTGACTATGACGATGCGGACTCCGATGACGTCATCAGCGATGATGACGATGACGATGCGGATGTCGGTGACGTCATCAGTGACGTCACTGATGACGTCATCTGTGATGATGACGATGACGATGCGGATGCCCCCCGAAGTCACGTGACCTGGGGGTGTCACGTGACTTCGGGGGGGTCCCGTGACTTTGGGTGTCACGTGACCTTGGGGGTCACGTGACCCTGGGGGAGGGGTCACGTGACCTCTGGGGGTCACGTGACCTTGGGGGTCACGTGACCTTGGGGGGCCACGTGACCTTGGAATGACCTTGGTTACGCCGACGGCGACGCCAACGGCGACGCTGACGCCGCTCATGCCGGGAACGGGCCCCTAAGAGCTGCGCTCTAAAAGTATATCGTTACATTCTGCTCCGACATCATCTTAACAAAACTGCTCTATTGGAATCGTGTCATCTTTAATAGATCGTTCATGAAATATGAACCAGCGGAGAAAGTGAGGGTCTGCGCCATCATATTCGCAACGCTACAAATGCGCATGAACAGTATAAACCAATACATACATAATGTCAAATGAAAGAAGATTGCATTGCCTTTCGAACGACATCAATCCCACATAACAGTATTCAAAAGAAGATGAGTAATGACCTGCTAAAAAGTACTTAAACTGCCACATTCAGTGGGACCGTGGCCTTAACCGCTCTTGTGCCTTCTTATCTCTGATTCATAAGATGATTCTGCTACGAAGCACGCGTTCTTCATGCCTACCAAATTGCAACTTTTCGCCAGGATGCGGAGGTCAGTTAGCAACTCGTTGAAGCTCTCGCCTTCTCTTTGGTTTCTTGTACCGAAGCGAAACTCGTGGTAGGCTAGGTTAGCTGAAGGCTTGTAGAAACTTTCGAACTTCTTTCGAAGTACTTCAACGTCTTGCTTGTCTTCGCCTTCTTCGAACCGGAACATGCTGTACGTTTCTCTCGCCTCCTCTCCAATGGTTATCAATAATGTCGAAGCTTGCACTTCCTTTGGTTGGAGATTGAGTAACGTAGCCGGAGAAAATAGCTTGAACTCCCTTTCCCAGGTTTTCCGGTTTTACCAGACGTCCCCGCCAGTATCCAGTGGTCGTGGGGGCGGCAACAGAGCCGCCATAGCTTGCGGGATGACGTGCTGGGTTGACGTGCTGGGCGTGCTGGGATGGCGTACTGGGCTTTCTGTCATCGTGCTCGATATGGGTTGGTAGTCTGTTGTAGAAAGTGCCGTGGACGGAGTAGAAAGTCCCGTGGACAGACAACGGCCACTTCTGACACCATTGGATGGTGTTAATGTTTTTCACAAGCAATGAACCAACTTGCTCAGCTTAAGCCCGTAACATGGTTTAGCTCACTAGGCTAAACCAGGTGCGGTGGGGAATCGTTGGCCGAGTGTGTTGTAGCTCCGTTCAAAGCACGGAGATCACGCTGCAGAACCTGTCGGGACTAAAACCCCTCGATGTGTTTGCGTCGGTCCTACAAGTCACGTCAAATGTGCCAGTGCAAGAGGCCCGTGTCTCAAGCGGCCCTTGGAGGCAGATGGCGGCGCAGCACTAAATTCACTGGCCCTTGGAAGCTAATGGTGGCAGAGCACCCGGTCGTGGCACGTGTCCTGCGGGCTTTCACAACAATGGTTGGCGGTACCTGTAAAAAAACGCCTTGATCAAGGGGCTTTAGCAGGGACCCTACGTTCAGTCGCCCATCCGCATCCTGCGGTCGTGTATCACATATACTGCGTGATGCACGTTAAAGACCCCGAGCTAACAGCTTTACTGCCCTGGCTAAATTCATAATCTACAACGGGTAACAATATGTCTCCCAACGAGACTCCTGCTCTCTAAAAAACTAATGACTAATTTTGAATGCGCCGTTACAAAGCATTTTAATGTGATCGCGTGCTCAAGATTTTTCGTTTTGGTTTACATTTTTGATTATGCGACTCTTACTTATTGTGAAACAGACTATAGCTGTTGGACTCCTGGAAAAAAATATTATATAGCTAAGAAAAAAACACATTAACGCAAAAGACAAAAAATAAAATAAAAACAACATAGGCGCATTTAGTAAAAAAATGAAATAATAGAATTGAATATGTAGCGTGTATTTTATGATTCATATGCCGGGACAACAAAGCTGACACAAGAGCTCGGGCTCGCCGTACTCGAGCTACGAGCACCGACTGCGAGACCACGGGCGATTCTATAAATGCAGTTTTTATCATACCAGTCGGTCGACCAATTCTTGTGTCTCTACAATTCGTGACCCGGACGTGATACGCGGCTATGGCTCTCGAGAACACTGCTACCACAAATGTCGCCGCCGTCACGTTTCGACTTCCGAAATTTTGGCCAGCGGACCCTCTGGTATGGTTCACGCAAGTGGAATCGCAGTTCGTCATCGCTCGGATCACCAGCCAAGCTACGAAATTCCATCACGTAGTAGCGTCTCTTCCTCCCGAGGTGGCCATGGAAATTCGAGATTTAATCCTCTCGCCTCCAGACGATCAGCCTTTTGACAAGCTTCGCTCGGAACTGATCAAACGATCATCCGCATCGGAGCAAAGACGACTCCAGCAACTAATAACATCCGAAGAGCTCGGAGACCGAACGCCCTCCCAGCTTCTTCGACGACTGCAGCAGTTGGTGGGTGATAGGTTGCCAACTTTTGATACCTCCCTGCTGCGAGAGCTTTTTCTTCAATGGCTACCATCAAACGTACGCATGGTGCTCGTTTCCACCCCATCCATGAGCCTTGACGATCTAGCTCAGCTGACCGACAGAATCATGGAAGTGGCACTTCCCATTGTAATTTCGATCGACAGGATGCCTGGAGAAACGAGTGCGATGACGATACCACAACACGCAGTCAGCGACTACCCGGCATCTCCTGTTGTTACGGAACTTGGCCAGCGGATATTCAAGCTTACACACTCCAAAAAAAGCCCACGCGTCTATTTTCCGCACAACACTCGGAGAGCCAATCACCGCTACTTACAGAGGCAGCTCAGCGAATGGCGATGCCGAAACATAGGTTTAGACCAAAAAACGCAGACTGAGTTGTGACATTAAGCAATGCAAGCGTGACGTTTTCCATTGCTTAATGTCACAACTCAGACTGCGTTTTTTGGTCCAGAGATATGTTTCGGCATCGTCATTCGCTGGGCTGCCTCCGTAAGTTGTGGTGATCGGCTGTCCGAGTGTTGGGTGCGACAAACTAGACGCACGGGCTTTTTTTAGAGTGCAGCGCAAGTAGCAGCTCTCGTCTCCCGACCTCCTGCCCCCCACCAGAGCCGCTCAACCTCTCGGCCAAGATACCCTTCGTCTCCTAGGCGTCCGTGCCAGAACAACGAAGGTTTGTGCTGGTATCACAAGACTTTCGCTAACGACGCTCGGCGATGTCACCAACCTTGCTCGGCGTCGGGAAACGAACTTGTCCACCACTAGAGGGATCTAGTGGTGGCAACTTACAACCCCGTCGTCCGTTTTTCATCGTCGATCGTAATACAGGATTACGTTTCCTTACCGACACGGGTGTTGAGTGTCACTACTGTGTGACTCAAGTGAAAGATCCCAGGCCATCGGTTGCGCAGCACGGGATGAATTTCTTAACTAAAGCGTGAACCAGTGCCGCCAAACAATGACAAAGCAACATGACGAACCCTCAACATTTGACGCCTATACCTACAGCATATGGGTGCGGCGATCGGTGTCACGCGATCTGAGTGGCCAAAGTTGTGGTCGCATGTTTGCCGCTCAAACCGGATCTATCATTGAGGCGCGATGCCACTAACCACTTCCATTGGCTAAGCAGACAAAAGGAAGACCAGCGATTGACTCGTTGCTTTTTGCGCATCGCGGGGAAAGCATTTGGCTTCGAGAAGTTTCGGTGGTGCCCCCTGGTGGTTTCCGCTCTTGATGTCACGACCAGGATTTGCCTCGCCGCGATTCGCAGGATTGGCCTCGCCGTGAACCGGCGATTGGGCAGGCATTATCAGTGTCCAGGAATCTATAGTTTGGTCAATCGCGAACTTCGACCAAAGCGACGCTTTTGGTGCGCACGTCGATAATACACTACACTCTCAAGAAAAAAGAATGTAAAAAGGTGTATCGTTACACCCTTTTTCCCATATAATACACCCCAAAACTTCAATTCGACGTACAGCGCCCCACAGGTGAACAGACGGCCCGAAATTTTACGAGGGGCTTGATAGCCGTGTGGTACAACTTATTAAAATAGCTAATGTACCGTTTTACTGACCACAAAAAAAATAATCGAGGTTTTCTTGGCCCTACTGTAAAACACACTATGTTTTCTTTATGTGGTTTTTGATACGTACTTTAGCTATTTTAATAGGTTGTACCACACGGCTATCAAGCTCCTCGTAAAATTTCTGGCCGTCTGTTCGACTGTAGGGCGCTCCACGTCGAATTGAAATTCTGCGGTGTATTATATGGGACAAAGGGTGTAACGATACACCTTTTTACACCCTTTTTTCTTCAGAGTGTAGAATGTGGGCACCCGAGTGACAACAAATGCACCTTTTTTCCTTGTTAAGTCATATTCGCAGCGGCGTGGCGACTACCGAAAATCTTATCCTCCTAATACGCTGGGATCCTTCTATTGCTCGCCTTGATTGGTTGTCTCCGTGTTCTGAGGAAAAGCAAACTCGCAGGTCTTTTTTTTTTTAGAGTGGGATCGCTACGAGACCACTGAATAAAACACACTGTCGCCGCAAGTTTCACGGTCTATCTGATGGTAGTCACTAAGCCTCCAGCGCTGACCCGCACGTGAAGCGGAATGGCCCCCAAACGTCTCCATTAGGTTTAGCGAAAAAGCGTGAAACGCCACACACATCAACTAATCACGTGACACTCCAGATGACGTGCCGCAGCAGAGACCGAAAGAACACTGCTATCTGCACAGCGGCCCCGCCTTCGCCTTAGTCTATTGTTAGTCCGATAGCTCAGTGAACTTCCCCGAGTCTCGACCGACGTAAGATTGCAGCCCAAGCTCAAGAGTACAAAAAAAAAAAAGAAGAAAAAAAGTCGGCATTGAAAAAAAAAAAAAAGCGGAAATAAAGGAGAACGATAAATCAAAGTGACAGGTGAATGGATATCTACACGCCGAATGTTTGCTCTCGATGCCACATGAGAATCTTCGCGCATTCCAAGCGCTCGACTTGCATAAGCGATGGTTGCGCAGATCGCGAAGCACCAACCGCTGATTTCTATGACCTGCACCTCTAAGTGAAACTTCTAACGCTGCCACACAAGCCAACTGTTTACTGTTCACGAAGTCTACTGGGTGGATATTGTTGATTATTGGACCGTTTTCGGCGCTGGGAATGGATGTCCTTTGCAGTTCGACGGAGGAGACGGTTATGGGACTACAACGTAAGCCTCTTTCTCCCTCTTTCACACATACACAAGGGAACACAGACAAATATACACATTTACACAATCTTGGTGAGAAACCGACGTACAGCCTATCCCCCTATAGGTCAACTTCAGTCTTGTTTCAGTGTCGTTCTAGAGAACATATTCTGGGAGTGCTTGCAATTGCCGCAGCAGGCTGCGTGCGTCTCCTTTCGTGCGATTCATAGATTTAGTGCTCGCCGTTTGGAAGCAAGCATGAGCTTTCTTGTATGTTTGCTCAAATCCTGAGTTAGTAAAATACGATCAAAGTTATAGGCGCAGGGTAGCCCCTAGTTTAGTGCGTATTACCTCAGAAATTTGTCCGCGCCACGAAGTGTTGAATTTGAGGCTTTTTGGCCAGATGTACAGGCATGAACGCAAACACATTTTGCTTTCGACGTTTTTTTTTTTTTTTTTTTTTTTTTTGTATATGCTTTTTGCTTTGATTTATTCCTTTGTGTAACTCACTCACACGCTTTTTTTAGATACTACGGCGTTCTCGTGTTTTAGATATTACGGCGAACGCTTTTTTTTTTAGATATTACCGCGTTCTCGTTGCTGATGTTTTTGAAGTTCGTCACCACCAGTCTTGATCAGTTCCCTGAGACGGGCAAGGTCAGTACAAGGGCGGCTCTTGCTTGAAGGGTGTTGAAAAAGTTTATTTTCGGGGACATCTTGTCGATTGGACTCCATGTGTCCGCCACCGAATTACAGGAAAAAGTAATTATAATAAAATACAATCGGGCGGAAGCAAAAATGAAACCCCGATGTCAATGTTACGATAGTAAATTCTGTGAGAGACAATCTCAATACCTCGTTGATTTTCTTCTCAGTGAGAGTAAATCGAAGTTAGCTCGCTTTCTTAGAGAAGTAATTCTGGTGTCTAGCGTGTAACCTCACACCTGGATGAACCTGAGCGCAACAATTTTTATTGCCTCTATAATCGATACCACCGAACGTTGCCAGGGAGACGAGACAGATAACGCGTGATTCGAGTTGCAGTCTGACAAGTGTAATAAATGCTAGCGGTTCTACCAACGACAGTGCCAGTTTTCAATCGCGTCGAAGGTTGACCTATTAGCATTGGACACTATGTGCGTTAAACGGGCAATTATATAAGCTGCGCTTGAAGTATCGGCACACCGTTCCCCGACTGTGTCCTGCGCAGAGCCATGTTTCGATAAGTGCGGGGCGGGTCTACTTGGGCGATTTTTTAAAAAAAAGCGATTTCTTGAACTTTAGGTAAGAAAGCTCGGTCATTAAGTAACGTTACGAAATATTACGTTGAAGTCACCGGGACCTTTGTGCTACCAGTTCCATAGATCGGCAAACCTCACTCACCCTCCCTCAACCTCACCTTTACAGGTGAGGTGAGGGGGACTGAGTTTCTGAACCAGGAAAATTCATGATTTTGAGGGTGAGTGAGGGCTGTGAGGACCGCGAGTCTGTGAGGGCCGTGAGGGCAGGTGAGTGCGTGAGGGGTGTGAGGGCCATGAGTGCGTGAGGGGCGTGAGGGCGGTGAGTGGCGTGAGGGCCATGAGTGCGGGAGGGGTATGAGGGCCATGAGGGCGGTGAGTGCGTCAGGGGCGTGAGGGCCATGAGTGCGTGAGGGGCATGAGGGCCGTGAGGGCGATGAGTGCGTGAGGGGTGTGAGGGCCATGAGTGCGTGAGGGGCGTGAGGCTGTTGAGTGGCATGAGTGCGTGAGGGATATGAGGGCCATGAGTGCGTGAAGGGCGTGAGGGCGGTGAGTGCGTGAGGCCCTTTTTAGACGGAGCAACTTTCTCAGCAATTTCGGTGTTGCTGGCGGGTTGTTCCCTAGCTTTCCCTAGATCGACACGAATTGCTGAGATTGGGTCCAGCTCGAAACAAGCGAGCAACTCGGAGCAATTCGAGGACGTTTGAAGCGGCTGCATCCAATCAGGGAAGCGATAGTTTCACGTGATACCTCGTGCCGGTGATGATGACAACAAAAGACTTGGTTCTGGTTTGAAATTGACCGTTTTTGGAAATGAACTGTTTCAGAAAGATGCATTAGTATTCTCAACGAGATTTAAATGCATAAAAACACGTTTATAGCGCGTAATTGTGTGTCTACATAGTGCAAGAAATATAAAATCTCATGATGGCAAATTGCAGCAATTGGTTGCTGCGTGTGAACGCGGGCGGCCTGTGTTGCTGGTGTTGCGACGTCAAGTTTCTGGGCGAAATCGCCCCATCTGAAGCGGGCCTGAGTGGCGTGAGGGCCATAAGTGCGTGAGGGGCGTGAGGGGTATGAGTGCGGTGAGGGCCGTGAGGGCGGTGAGTGCGTGAGGGCTATGAGTGCGTGAGGGCGGTGAGTGAGTGAGGGACGTAACGGCCATAAATGAGTGAGGGGCGTAAGGGCGGTGAGTGGCGTGCGGGCCATGAGTGCGTGCGGGGCGTGAGGGGTATGAGTGCGTGAGGGGCGTGAGGGCCATGAGTGTGTGAGGGCCATGAGGGCGGTAAGTGCGTGAGGGGCGTGAGGGCCATGAGTGCGTGAGGGGCGTGAGGGCCGTGAGGTTCAGTGAGGGTCGGTGAAGGGCTGAAGGTGAGTGTGATTGTTAGGATGAGGATGAGTGAGGGGCTGTAGGTGAGTGTAGCTGTGAGGGTGAGGGTGAGTGAGGGGCTTAAGTGAGTGTGGCTGTGAGGGTGAGGGTGAGTGAGGGCGACCTAAACTGCCGACCTCTGACCAGCTCAATGAGAAAGCATGACACGCGAAATTCAAGACAAGAATGTTCCGGTGACTTATACGTAACGTAACTTAACGCAAGAAAATGGGGCAGTATGAATGAGCCTTAATTCTCTTAATATACGGGCTCGTCACATTTCCTGAGAACGGAAGAGCGTTCCCTGCGATTTTGAATAAAGACGCAGTAGCAATCATCTTCAGAGATGGCTCAAGTATCCTTGCTCCGAAGCGTCGCTTAGTTAGCGGCTCCGTACTCCGTTCTACTTCAAGTCCGATCACAACCGACGGTCCGATGGATTCAATCGAGCAAAGCAAAAAAGGGCCTCACCACGGCGTTCGTCGCCCTTGTGCGTTTGTGCGTGATAGCCGGTGAACCCACACAAAGACAACGATTGTTATGGCGCTTCACTTTTGGAGCTGTTTGGTTGGCTCCATGAAGGCCTGTTCACACATACAGCGGAGCGCTACAAGCATAGCGCTTACCTCGCGCTAAGCGCGTGCTGACGGGAGCGTTCACCAGCTTTGTATCGCACCGTCAAAACTGTTGCTCATGGCAGACGATAAGTAGCTGACGGCACGTGAGAAGCGCTACATCAGCGCTCCGCTGCATGTGAGAACCGGCCTTGAAAGCGTCTGCTGCGGTCGAACTTTGATGAAGCGGAGTAGAGGAGCTTCACGATAGGTTGCTAGATAAATGGATGCCAAGGTATTTGCGAGTCGAACACTTGCCAATGTGCAGTGTGCGCAGGGTGTATCTACATTAAGGAAAAAAAGGTGTGCGCGTCAAAAGGAACAAACAAACGAAAAACGAGTTGTACCTCAGAATATTAAATTGTCATTTACTAATTTTTGCACCAGTCATTTATTAGGTTAAGACCGGCTGGTAGAGAAATCTGATCATTTCGGTTACAGATGCGTCTAAGTAAATCACGCAGTCATCCGCGAACCGTCGAATACAAGACGCGATATGATCACGGAGGGTATTTACGAAATATTAAAAAGAGCAGGGGCGCAATTGCGCTGCCTCGGAGAGCATGAGGGGAGACGGGACAATCTGATTATGAGCGATCGTTAATTTTATTATTCGGAATACGATTGGTTTAACATTATGCAATTCCGAATGTAACTGATGGGCGAAGGTACTGCCGAATGCTTTATCTAAATCAAGAAAGGGGGGATCGGTGGCCGAGTGGTCTAGCGCGCACCAGCTCGGAGCACGTGGAGCGAAAGCTCGCGCTGCAGAACCCAGAGATCCTAGGCTCGAGCCCCACCCCTGCCCGTTTCGATCTGGATGAGCATCGTACCGGCATGCGGTCGTGTATCACTACAGCGTGATGCACGTAGCTGTAGATGAGTAATTTAGCCAGTGCGGTACAGCCGCTAGCCTGCAGGCTAGCGGCTGTACCGCACTGGCTAAATTACTCATCTACAGCTGGGAGACTCGTCGCCCCTGTGAGGCAGACCAAGTTCTAGGCTGTATAAACACACACACAACCCAATTATTATTAAATCAAAAAACAAGACCTGTATAATATTATCCGAGGTATTTTCCGAAGAAGCTGCTGTACCAGTTGTCTTTCACGAGGATGTAAGTGCCGAAATTGATGCTCGTTGAAAAATTTTAAATATGTAGTATACTTAATTTCGTTGTTCACGGTCTCATAGGCAAAGTTTTTTGTGTATCCCACATTTGACACGAGTGTTACGAATTTTCATTCGCTAGATGTCGTTCATGACCCTGCTAGAATAGGGTGCCTAGATGTCTGTCTGTCTCAGGGTGAAGACATCCATTGTTGTCCTGAATGTGCCAGCACATGACGCTCTGGCGCACTCGGTGCGTGACTTGGGCGGTAATATGGCGTCTATGCATTAGCCAAAGCTACGCGCTCGAGCTGAGTGACACCGGATTGCGCGCACTTCAAAATGCATAAAAAACGATTGGGCGGAAAAATGGCTGAGATGTCACCACTCAAGCGGAAGCGCACGTGTGTGTGAAGGCACTCTATGCTAGAATAAAGCGCGCGTGTGTATGAAGGCACTCTATGCTAGAATAAAGCCCCTCGATGTGTTTACGTGTCTTGCAAGTAGCGTCAAATGCGTGAGCGCACGAGGCCCATGTCTCGAGCGGCCCCTGAAAGCAAATGGCGGTGCAACACTGAAATGAGCGGCCTTTGGAAGCGAATGGCGGCGGAGCACGCGCTCGCGGCACGTGTCTTGCGGGTTTCCACAACAATGGTTGGCGGTACTTGTAAAAACGGCCTTTATCAAGGG